AGTCGTTAAGAAACTCAATGGAATGCCAATCAATAATAATTTTAGCATTATATCTTTTGACGTATCAATGTATACCAATATCCCTATTGACTTAGTTAAAAAAAGCATAGAACGAAAATGGAATTTCATTAGAAATAAGACGTTGATACCTATCCAAGATTTTTAATAGCAATTTCAATCATAATTAATTCGACATTTTTTAAATTTGACAATAAAATTTTCGAACAGATTTTTGGTATGCCCATGGGGTCTCCACTTTCTCCTGTATTAGCCAACATTGTTTTATAAGATCTAGAACTCGAAATTCTTACGACTAACGATATAATTAATTTTTTTTATTTTCGTCACGTCGATGACATTGTATTGTCTGTACAAAGTGACAAAGTTGATTCTATTCTTGAATTATTCAATTCTTATCATGAAAGGATTAAATTTAACTATAGATTATGGTGATGAGTAGACTGCGGAAGTTTATGCAAAATACTTAACTGAACGTTTTGCATAAAATGCATATTTTGCAATTTTGTAAATTTACAGATGGCAATCTCAATCTTTTTACTTCACTTTTTAATAACTCTTTAACGAACAACGATTGACTGCTAAAACTGTCCGATAGTTAATATTCAGTTAAGTATTTTGCATAAAATTCCGCAGTCTAATGATGAGAATGGCATTAATTTTTATGTAAAATTGATGAAACATGATGGAAAAATCATTTTTGATATGTACAAAAAACCAATTAATTCAGGGAGATACTTAAATTTCTATTCTAATCATCCAATTGTGCACAAGAGAGAGGTAATTATTGGGCAGTTTGACAGAATATTAAATTTATCGCATCCGAAATTTCAGAAAAAAAATATTACTAATTTAATTCACATTTTACTAAATGGATATCCTTTAGAATTCATTTTTTCAACTATTATAAATAGAATTAAGAAAAGACCTTAGAAAATAGAGTTTACTTTGAGAATAATAATGACGATAACAAGATAATTAAAAAATTTTTTGTTGTACCATATTTTAACAATGTACTTGAAAAATTTCAATAGCTATCATATAAGAATGGGTTTAGAATTGCATACAAACCAATGCAATGAACGGATTAGATAGATTCATAAAAACGGGAAAGGATCGCTTATGCAAAGATGACCATTGCGAAGTAGTTTATAGGATAAATTGTTTAGACTGTGAATCTTCGTATGTCAGCCAACAAAAAGGAAACTAAAAACACGAATAAAAGGACACAAGGTTGACATAAGAAAATCCACTGATGCAATGTCGATTGTCTCGCGCCACCAAGTTGATAATAATCACATGTTAGATTTGGAAAATGTTAGCATTTTAGATACAGAACAATCTCTATATAAACGAAGAATATCTGAAATGATACATATAAATAGTCAAACGAGAAGTATAAATAAGCAAAGTGATACTGAAGGATTGCCTGATGTTTATCTTCCTCTTTTAAATAGTTGATCTCTCTCTTTCTCTTAAGAATTATTCTAGAACGTTCTCAATTTCGTTGCACATATACGAGGGTCGTCTGAAAAGTTTTGAGCCTAACATAGAAACAAGTAATTTTTCGGTCAAATTCAATTTTATTTTTCCACAAAGTCTCCTTTTAAGTCGATACATTTTTTCCAGCGATGTTTCCACCCCTTTAATCCATTCAAACAATACTGAGCGTCTTGCTTTGCAAAATAGGCGTCTACGGATGCGATAATCTCCTCGTTCGATGAAAATTTCTGTCCTCCGAGCCGAACTTTGAGCCTGGGAAACAGAAAAAAGTCGCTGGGGGCCAGATCTGGTGAATACGGTGGATGGTCAATTAATTCGAACCGCAATTCGTGAATTTTTGCCATAGCTACCGCCGAAGTGTGAGACGGTGCGTTATCTTGATGGAACAGCACTTTCTTCTTTTTCAAATGCGGTCGTTTTTTCTCAATTTCTGCCTTCGGCTTGTCAAGCAATGATGCGTAGTACGTCCCTGTTACTGTTTTACCTTTTTCAAGATAGTCGTTCAACACAATTCCATGACTGTCCCAAAAAACAGTCGCCATCACCTTTCCCGCCGATAAAACCGTCTTCACTTTCTTCGGAGCAGGTTCAACCCTTCGCAGTCCACTGTTTTGATTGTTCTTTCGTTTCAGGAGTGAAGTGATGAATCCAAGTTTCATCAACCGTTATTAATCGACGCAAAAAATCCGACTCGTTTTGCTTAAACCGCTCCAACAGGGCCTTAGAAATGTTCATTCGAATGCGTTTTTGATCCAGAGTGAGCAAGCGCGGCACCCAACGCGCGGTTAACTTACGCATGCCTAATTCTTCAGTCAATATATGACAAACATTTGATGACGTTCTTTTGATATGCCAACAGCCTCTACTATCTCCCTAATCTTAATTCGACGGTTGTCCATTATCATTTGATGAATTTCTTCGATGTTATCGGTGGTGGTCGCAGTTGTTGGCCATCCCGAACGCTCATCATCAGCTAAGCTGGTACGACCACGTTTAAATTCAGCTACCCATCTTTTCACGGTGGCAAATGATGGGGCAGAGTCCCCGTAAACAGCGTCCGACTCGGCTTTAATTTGCGTAGACGTATTGCCTTTCAAATGCAAGAATTTGATAATAGCACAATATTCAATTTTTTCCATTTTAAGGTTTTTTTCAGCACATTGTTAGTTTAATTTAACTTGTGATATTATTGCAGTAGTTTAATTGCGTTAGATTGAGTCTGGAAAAATTTCGGCGCGCAGTTTGAATAACTACAGAAATATGCATGTACATATATAGGATATAGATAATTCACTGGGAATTGTTTAGGCAAAAAAGATCTAGCTTTGACCGTTATAGGCTTGAATATTCTTATACTTAGTGTCTAATTCTTGCCGGTCCGAATAAAATCTTATTATATTGGTTTTTCCATTTTTACAAACTGACAACAAAAATAATTGTCAAACAAGAACTGAACGTACAAAGTGGCCATAATTGTCACAGACACTTTCGTAATTATCACGATTATAATACCAGAATGGCTTTGATGAGTAACGCCATCTTTATGATGAGACTCAAAACTTTTCAGACGACCCTCGTATATATAGTTCTGACACACAACCAATTAACGATAAATAAATTTACACGTTGTCACGGTGATATTCCATTATATTCTGTGAAAATCTCCTACTTATGGTGTACAAAGTTCAACGAATTGCTGTAAAAACAGGTATTGAATTGTAATTCCTTAATAATTTAATTAGAAGATATTAATTTTGACATATTGATTTTATATCAGAATTTGGAAATTCTTATTCTACACAATTCGAAACGATTCTAACTGGATCATCGATTATAGGTTATGACGCTCACGAATAAGGCGATAATCGCGTGTTTTTTATTAAATATATGACTGCAATTTTATTATTATTGGGTATGGGAATAAGTTTCTGCTCTTTTTGATATGAAAAAGATGTGTCTATTTAAACAAATCTATATAAGTGAGTTTATTCAAAGTATGCTCCTTCCGAAGCGACAACTTTCTCCCACTTTTCCGGTAATAAACGGATTCCTCGAATGAAAAAATCTAGTTCTTTTGAAGCGATCCATTCATCAAGCTATTTTTTGATATCTTCATAAGAATTGAATCGTTTTCCAGAAAGGGCCGACTGCATGGATCGGAACAAATGGAAATCTGAAGGAGCAATGTCCGGTGAATACGGCGGGTGTGGCAGAATTTCCCACTTTACTCCTTCCAAGTATTTCTGACCGGTTTTGCAATGTGTGGCCTAGCGTTGTCATGTAACAGAATTAGCTTGTTGTGCCTATTGTCCCATTCCGGTCGTTTTTCTTTCAAAGCTTGGTTTAAACGTATCAGTTGTAGTCGATAACGATCGCCAGTGATGGTTTCTGACGGTTTGAGCAGCTCATAATATATAACACCTCTCTGATCCCACCATAATCTTCGAAGCATGGATATTTCGTTTTGGCGTTGATGGACCTGGTTCACCTGGCATCACCCATGCTTTCAAGCGTTTAGGGTTATCGTAGTAGATCCATTTTTCATCGCCAGTTACTATACGATGTAGAAAACCCTTCCTTTGTTATCGTTGACGAAGCATCTCGCAGATGACCAAACGTCTTTCCATGTCTCTCTCTTTCAATTTGTATGGCACCCAATTTCCTTCTTTTTGCACAATTTCCATTGCGTGTAGACGTTTTCCAACAGTGGATCTATCAACATTTAACTCTTTTGACAACCTATCGAGCGATAAACATGAATCTTCTTCGAGTAATGCTTGCAATTCTGTATCTTGAAATTTTTTCGGTGCACCTTCGCGTTCTTTGTCACGCACGTCAAAATCACCACTGTTGAATCGCCAAAACCATTCTTTACAACTGGGTTTCGATGGAGCATGCTCACCGTAAACATCTACGAGCAAACGATGCGATTCTGCAGCACTTTTCTTTAAAATAAAATAATGGAGTAAAACTTCCCGCAAATGTTGCTTTTTTAGAATAAATTCCGACATCTTCAACGCAAAAAAAGTTACTCTTTTTTACGCTTCGAACGAATGCCAACTATTGGGCTCAAAAGTTTGAACACAAACCTTTCAAACACATGTGTTGCCGTTCTGTCAAACACACAAGCAATACTACTAACGATATCTTTCTACAATGGGCGGAAACTTATTCCCATATCCAATATAATTTATGTGTCCAATACGCGATTAATGTTATAATTACTGAAGATGGCCAGATGTTGGCCGAAACGTCTAATTTAAATTTGAATAATTTTAATATATTAAATATCACAAAAAAAACAACCTGTGCTGTCGTTTGATGCTCCTTATATTTCAAAATTATTTTCAGTGATAACGTTGCAATAGCATTTAAAAAGTAATTCTTTCTTTCAAATACTTACTTAAAATCGTAAAAATAATTTAACTACCTTAAAGAAGTGCGTTTACAAAAAAATTTTTTTTGTGTATTCAACTTACTGGTAGGTTTAATATTTTATCGAGCCTTTCTTTAATACTTAATCCTTTCTTCGGTCGCATTAATAGAAATATTTCACGAACGTCTGGACAAGATCGTAATACCTTTTCGATAAAAACTTTACCCAGAAATCCTGTTGCACCAGTCAAAAGTATACTTTGTCCAGCATAAAATGCAGGAATTGATTTGGTTGGATCAACAGTCATTTTGTCGATTATTCTTAATAAAAAGTTGATAGAAATACTAAGCGACGCAATACAAATCGTATAAGTGGTCGTATTTGATTGTCACCTTTTATATGTCGGCAAATGTTTGTAAAGTTGGAAACAATGATTATATACAAAATTGATTACTAAGCATAATTTAAATTATCTCTGTTTTATAGTCATAAAATAATGAATTCTGTGGGATTATCAATGCTTTTAACCGGAAATGATTATAACTGTGCAATCTAAGTTTGAAAGAGTAAGTATACAGTACAGTTGTCTCTATTCACCGATCGGTAGCGTTGCTACAGCAAGTGCATAAAAATATAAAACGCACTGCTTGACCGCTTGTTGTGTGAACGTCATTGCGTGTATGTTTATGTCATGTAGTAATATACATAGCAGTAAGTTTGATATAATTACTGTTATTTATTACCATGGAAATATCATGCGCAAGTTGAGGTGATTTTAACTTCTAACCAAAGTATTTATAATAATATAAACTAAGCCTCAGATAATAAAAAATTCTAATGAAAGGCTACGAATCGTAACAGGATGGTAGTTGTTAACAATTAAAAATCATTGACATCTAATACATATAAAATACAAACATTTTAACACTTATCGGGTCATCTTCAGTGCCGTACAATATTAATCCGCAATTTAACAATTTTACAAAACCTTCAATCTTCAAAGTATCCACAGCATATTAATCTTTCCAATAATTATAGATGAATCCGTTAATAAATCAGACTAATCAAGACTCCTTACAAATCAAAGAATTGGAAAGAGTAAGGGTACTAGGAGTCAGGCACAGAAGAAGTCGCGCAAATAATACACTTATAAAGAATGAAACTTTTTTATTCACTAAACGCGCTTTTATTCACTAAACATGTTTCGGCTCACTTTTTGAGCCTTTCTCAGAGCAAACTAACATACAGGGTGTATAAAAAGTCCCGGACCACTTAAATATCTTGAAAAGTAATCATTTTTGAGAAAAATGTTTGATACAAAAGATGTAGGGTTGAAAATGATCTATTGATTGACCTTATCAATTTGACCTTGGCTGGTGCTATCAAGGGCAAGTCGATTTTTTTAAACGAAACACCCTATTTTTGATTCTAGAATCTAATAGCTGAGGTCGGGAGCTTTCCAAAACGCTATAATAAAGCCTCTTTTTAATCAGTACTTTTCAAGTTATGAAAGTTGAAATTTACGGAACCGCCGACATTAGCATTATCTAAGGTATTACGTAGAGATTGCCCGACTGGAATTATGAGTCATGTATGTATGTGCCCGCGAATGTCTGTACCTCTATCTCCTCCTCCCTCCTCCTCTCTACCCTTTCCTTCTCCTTCCTCGCCTTTCTCTCCTACTCTTTTCTGTTCCCTCTCCCTCCTTCCCATCCTTTCAACAAAACTGGAGACTACATAAGCTAGAGATCTCTCTTGTCAAGTTCACTCTTTCTGTGACCTGCGATTTAGAAGGTCTTTTTCGTGATACTCCATTCTGAGATTGCTTATCGCCACATAGTTATCTTTGTTTATAAAGTATTTATCTGGAGACACTGATAGTGTCTCGGCGCTAAGCCAAGCGCAGCGACACTGCCGTGGCTATTTTCAGGCCATTCTACATAAGACGCAAAACGCGGGTTGTAGGTCGCAAAACTAGAAACTAACCTAACGTATTTTAATTATGATATGATTGTAGGACGCAGAACGCAGGACGCAGAAAGTTGGGTCGACTTCAACTTTCGCGTCTTGCGTTTTGCGTCCTACAATCATATCATAATTAAAATACGTTAGGTTAGGTTAGTTTCTAGTTTTGCGACCTGCAACCCGCGTTTTGCGTTTTATGGAGAATGGCCTTTACGCGAATCTGTCAAGATTTCCAGACGGTGATTATGGGATCTCAATAACGGCTGTCCCGATTGAGTTCTAAGTGTGCTCAATCGATTGCATCCGCTCGGAATATATAATGAAAGTGTTTTTGTTTTTTTTCTACGTGCTCTACGAGCGGAGATATTGCGATGCAAAATGATGCAAAATCCGAACTTGAAACTTTTATTTAAGAAACGTCGTCGTCGTCGTCGTCGACAGGGTGGAGGAAATGTCCTTTTGGATTTTTCGGCGCTAGAGGCAAATATGGCGCTGGTGCATGGTCACATCACACATGTGTTCGTTTTCTATGGCTGATGATTAGGTTAGGAAAACTGTCACATCGATGGCATAGAGTAGAGGACACGTAAGTGATTTTCTGCTTCTACATTTGCACGAAATGAACGAATCTGGCAAAATAAAAATGTATCGCTTTACTCCGTGGACCGAGATCGTTAAAGTTGATCACTATTCAGGTTAGGAAACATATCCATCATATCGATGGCATATAAATTATACAGCAGAGTATTTGTTTGGTTAAATATTTGTCTGTAAAGCAGAATGTAAAGCAGAATTGATTTCCTTTATGCCATCGATGCAACAGATCTCTGGATATCTGTCAACTTTAATTATAACAATAATAATTAATAACTCGGTTCGCGATAGTGCAAAAATGCGTCGAATGATTTTATCAACCTCGAGAAGGTTCGACGTTGTACGTACATTATTATGTAACTTGTAATTTAAAGATACGTTTCATGATGCATTTCTTGTCGAGGTTTGTCTCAATTGCAATGTACACAAAGATGTTTGGAACAAAATTTGGAACCTTGTCAAATTCATTCACGTATGGTTTAGAGGTAATTATACAGTTTAGCCGCTCACCTCAAAAATCGATGAACATAGGCTCATTCGACGCGTTTTTGCTTAAAACGAAAGAATCTGGCAGAAATAAGCGTCGCTCTGCCCCGCGAACCGAGTTATTAAGCGTTAAAGTTGACGATTTCAGGTTAGGAAATCTGTCATACCGACGTTACGTTGCGATTGAAATATGCTCTGTGGTCATATGCGCATGCTCTGTGATCACATGCGCATGCGTTGTACGTACTTTTCGGTAAGAGTGCACGAAATTTAAAGTCATAACCCATGTAGACAGTGGGGTGTGTGAATAGTAATGCTTGGGTTCGGGCGGCTACGCCGCCCTCACGAAATAAAAAAATATCATATCCTACCCGCTTGGGGCCTAACCGCATGGAAGTTACAGCTGAGATAGTGTCCGCTTGGAATATTTCTAAAATATTCCAAGAAAGTACCGCTTCAAAACTACAACAAATCAGTGCTTTAAAAGCACAAATTCACTGCTTTAAATACACAAATTCACTGCT